TCAGCACTGAGAGCATTGGCCTGCGGTCCAGAGAGACCTGGGTTCGGTTCCTGCTAAGGGCATGTGCCTCGGTTGCAGTTTGTCCCTGGCCCTGGTTGGGTCGTGCGGGTGGCAGCCACTTGATGTGTCCCTTTCATGTGGATGTTTCTCTCTCTCTCTCTCTCCCTTCCACCCTACCTGAACAAAAAATGAAAAACTGTCCTCGGGTGAGGGAAAAAAATATATTTTAAAAACAAAAAACAAAGAAAAAAAAAATCCCATATCCTTGGGTGAGGATTAAAAAATAAAATCAAATGTTTAGAATTTATTGGAGTGACACTGGTTAATAATACTATATAGGTCTCAAGTGTACAATTCTATAATACATCATCTGTATATTGTATGGTATGTTTACCACCCACCAAATGGCTATCATTTTTTAATGACTGTATTTCAAAGGGATGCTTTGAAAGGAGGGCTTAGAGAGGGTAGTGGGAGTTTAAAATCAAGATGGTTATCTTACTTATTTTAAATAAACAACTCTGTGTAAATAATACTATTTAAAAGATCAGTACAGAACTTCAATGGGGAGTGGGGGGGGGTAAAAATCAAGATGTTGGTTGTGGACTATTCCATTTTACAATGGATGCTTCAATTTTTAAACATATGGTATTTTAAAATAATCTTAATAATTTCATATTCTATTCAATTTTGCTTAGTTGTGTTTCAAAATATCTCATATATATGTATGTTAATGAGAAAAGAAGTTCAACTTTAGGATGAGAATAACTTAACATTACTTTAGCTTTCAGTGAAAGATGACATGTATAAACAGGAAAAACAATACTTAAAAAAAAAAACAGACTTAATTGAGACTTTATTTTTCATCTGTATATAATTCCAACTTTGTAACACTAAAATAGAAAGTATTTGTGTGTATAGGAGTATGAGCCGCTGACATCTTCACTACCCACCCCCCAAAAAACAGAGAAAACAGAAAAATGTTATAAAACAAGGTTTATTCTGCAATACTTTATCATAATGAATTGCATCTCTTTGGTAAAAATAAATTTTATAAACATTTTAATAATCAGAGATTAGATACAAAAACTAAACATTTGTTAGGTTGTTTTTAATATGAGCAAAGACTGGCAACTGAGAAGGGGTTCACTTGGACTGGTCATCTACTGGCAGTTAAAACTCAAACTCAAGGCAATTTTCAAGCTACATTAGAAAAGAGGATAAGGAAACAGTATTATTCAAATTTCTTGAATCAAATAACATTCTTACACTTTAATTAAAAATAAATAAGTTACAAATGAATTGGCAATTATACATTTTTATACACTATATGATGGCAACATAATACTTTAAAATTAAGCACTTAGTTTAATAAGAAATGTACAACACTTTAAAAATAAGTTTTGACAATGGCACTGGCAGTTAGATGCAAAAAAAAAAAAAACCTGTTTTAAGAAAAAAATGGCAGGTATAACATTAAAATACTCTACTTTGTTTTTCAATAAATATTTTGACCACATCATTAACATATTGAAGTAAACTTTGTTTAAATCAAAGCTTACACATTTCAAACAAAAACTACAAAATATTCGTAAACCAGAAAGCCTCAAAGTTCTTATTTAAATGCTATGATCTTCACAAAAGGTTAAGTTACTATAGTATTTAAGACTATTGTCTTTACAGATTTGTGAAGTATTCACATCTGTTGCTTAAACGCTAGGAAAGGCCTCCTGATTTACCAAGACACACACATTCTCTCTTTAACACTTTCTCTAGCTTTGAATTCATGCTAATATATGTTTAACTGACCATCTAGTATGAACCCTTTATCTAATGTCTCAGAAAGTAGCAAAAGAAAAAAATATATATTCTAAACTTTACTATGTACAAAGAAACCTAAGTTAAGAGAAGTCATGCTGGCTATAAGAACAGGAAAAACTCCAAGGTGGAAAAAAGGTGATCCACCAATAATGAGCTTTTCTGTGAATACGAGTAATGTTTTCTTTTTCTGACTTTGAAAATAAAATAAAATATTAACTAATTTAGTAATATATTGCACACATAAATTTGAAAAATATATAGTATTCAAGAAACACTGATTCTATTTGGGATGTGAAAGATGAAGACTGTGTTGAGGCAAAACTTTTATTAGGGATCTATTTATAAACTGGAATTGGTTGTAACAATTTATATTGATGTAAGGCAAATTATAAGTTAGCTTAAATCACAGTTTTAAAATACGTTAGAAAATATTTACTTCTCCAGGATTGTTTTCATTACAGTAAAATTTCTTGGTGATACATTACTGGAAATAAAATTTCCAGTCCATAGGACTTCAAGTGACTTTCCTTAACTGAGTGGTTATTAGTGATGTTTTTATCTCAATACACCTGAGAAATGGGGTCATAATGTCAATGGAAGTAATAATAGGGGACCATATTTATAAAGAATCTTCACCTTGAAAATAACTGTGTTGGTAAATCAGCAAAAGGGAAGTTAGGCACTGAATTCTGTATAAGAGTTAAGTGTAAAATATTGTGTAACTTCTTCCTATTAGTTTTTAGTGCAAAAGTGTCTATTGCCCTTGCTAGTGATAAATATAACTTCAACTTTTATATTTGTGGAAAGAGTATATGAAAAGAGAGAGAAAATCAAGTTTAAAGAGTTATTGTTATTTATATTAAGACAAAATAATTTTGAAGATCCATATTAGAACTAGGAACAACTCTCCCCACTCCTTATCTTAGACCATTTTCCTTTACTTACAAAGAATAATTATCTAATTAATGGACAGGAACCAGAGAGAACATTTTTGGTACAGAATTTCAGTAGAACAAAACAAAACTGGATCCAGGTCATTGAAACACTGTTACTATGGTATATGCAGAGGGCCATGGTAAACAGTTTAAATATATTGTTACTAAAATGATGTTTTATAATCTGTGTACTATTTTACACTGTGGTAAAGCAATTTTTGCTATTATATTCACTGTCTACAGTACAAGGTGTCAACTTGGGTTAACCACTTTCAGTAGATGTGACATATATGAAGAAAAATCCAAATACCATATCCTGAATACTTAAGGACTATTTTCATTATCAGCAAATTTAAAAATTACCAAATTTCATCGGCACCAATTCTATTAATGTAGCTATCCAGGTTCAATTACAGTTAACACAGAAACAGAACAGATTATATTAATGTTGTTACCCCTGGCTTAAATTCTTGACAATTGAAAAAGACATTTTCATTATGCTTCTCATTTGACAGTTTTGCCCTAATAAAATTTAGAAGTTAAAATATTTGTCTCTTAAAAAAAAATCCAAGAAAATGCTTTATAGTCAGAAATAATTGAAAGTAACAAATCAAAATCATAAACTTATGTATGTATATCTACATATGAAATTATCAGAAAATGAAAACAAGATCATTGTCTATGAAACAGGATGCTGGAAAGCTGCTTGTGAAAAAATATATAAAGAATAAGTTTAATTTTATTAGTATCCCTTATACCTTCTGAATAATATAGTCAAACTATACAAATGATATGAAAAAATGTCTCATACAAGCAGATTTGTTCAAATACTTAAAATGCCTAAGTCAATGCACATTTGGAACTGTAATATATAATCTTTTAGCATGGATTAATGGCACATAATAGGTGTTATACTGCTTCCTCAAAGGGTATATTGTATAAGATTTAATTTTATATAAATTTTGAGATCCATGAAGGTATTTTGTCTCTATAGTTTTGTTACATCCTTCTTAATTTAACTGGCTATACATACAAATTTAATTCATACAAAGCCTAGACAGGAGTTTTTTCCTAAATGATCTACCTTTATTTATGATAACACAAGTAATAATATTCAAAATATTTGTACTAGATTACACTCCATTCCTACTACAAGATTCTCAGAATGGCCTGGCTGGTGTGGCTCACTGGTTGAGAATCAACCCATGCACCAGGAGGTTGCCGGTTTGATTCCTAGTCAGGGCACATGCCCGGGTTGTGGGCCCAATCCCCAGGGAGGGGCATGCAGGAAGAAGGTGGCCAATCAATGTTCTCTCTCACTGATGTTTCTATCTCTTTCTCTCCCTCTCCTTTCCTCTCCCTCTAAAATCAATAAAGAAAAAATATCAAAAAAGAAAAAGATTCTCAGAATGTAGTACATTTAACAAGCAAATGAAGATTCTCTTATTGCAAAAGTGTGTCAAAATGAGTGTTAACTCCATAACACACTCTATGGCTATATCCTCTCATTGGATAGTTCCTATTCAACAGAGATAGCTAGTGGCTAATATTTAAACAATGACTGCAAAGCACTCTGGGAAAGAATAATCCAGTAAATGCTATGCAGTACCTGGGAAGTAAAAACTTTTCAAATATTATATTATAAGAGGAATTGGAGTGTTCTTAGATGAAATTATACCACAAAATGGCCTTTTCTAAATCTTATAAATCTTTGCTGTACTGATCTCTGCCTATGTAACCAAAAGGAATTTTCTAGACATCTAGGGTCTTTTCCAATTTATATCCAACTTTGTCATGCTTCAACAACAAAAAAATTATGACAAAATAAAAATCCAAATCTTATCCTACGTGGATTGCATGTGTCAGGAGACGAGTATTTGAGAAAGACATCAACAAAATTTTCAGCTAAATCAGCAGTTAATTACGGTTTGAAACAGAAAATAGAGTTGCCAATTATTACATTTTGACATACTAATAGAATAAAAGATTTCTCCTACAAGTTTAAGACAGAAGCTTTGGATTTTCTAATATAAAAATTTCAAAATCTTGGAGACACATGGCAAAAATTATGCTTTTAGAACTTCACATCTTATTTATGGTTGGCATGATCCTAACAGCAAATATTTAATAAAAATTAAAAAACAAACAAAAATGTTTTAAAATAAACAAGCAATTAGTATCCCTCCCCCACCCTAAAACAAAAATAAGTCCATATGGCTTTGATATCCCTTGTAAAGAATTAAGTAAAAGAGTATTGCCACACTTTAAAATAATTTCACACTAATAGGTATTTCTATTTTTTCCGCTGCTTTTGATTTTGTGTCTTTGCAGTACTTATTAGGGAGCCAAGACATGTACGAATTCCAGCAAGGTGGAGCAGAGATCCAGCTGCCTCTTTGAGCTCCTCATCAATTTCTTGACATGACTGTTTTCGCATCTTTTTACCTGGCTGCCCCTTTGCAGAGGTATCTGCACAAGCCCGTGATGCAAAGCCACTGTCACCAAGAGGATCATCTTCGTAATCAACGTCTGTATCTTCTTCACTGTGAAAACCTTCACTGCCATCACTTCCCACATGACTACTCTTTGGGATAAATTCATATACCTCATCCACAGAAGACAGGGAAGACACACTAGACCTGGATGCACAACGCTGTGTTACCGTGCTATTTGCACTGTAATTGTGGTCTTCTTTTGGATCAATGCTGGTGGCTAAAGAATCACTCTCTTGTAGTCGCATAGCACTGGGATGATTAAATGCATTGCCATAATTCCTTTTTTTTTGCATTGCTGTTTTAAGAGAAAGAGGCTTCTCGCCTGTGGGAAATGAAATATCCAGTAGGTCCAATGCATATGATTGCAAAAACAGACCATTTAAAACAACTACGTATATCATTCCTGAATAGTAAGTGCTGTAGATTACGAATGTTTTTGTAGGTTATTATTATTTTTTGAACACTGACCATACCATTCTGTTAGTATTAATACATTTCAGAATTACTTAATTACAGGAAAAATATAATTATTTTGAACTGCTTCCACAGAATGCCTTAATATGTATGTCATCACTACTTTGAATATACCACTACAATGGTTTGCTAACCATTTCCTTGTTGATATTTGTAGGTTGTTCCCAATTTTTCACTACAAGTAACACAGCAATGAAAATCCTTCTAAATGCCTTTTCTCACACAAATATTTTTCTAGGAAAATACCAAAAAATGGAATTAGTAAGTAAAAGGATATACACATTTAAAGTTACAATTGGTATTTACAAATTGCCCTGAAAAATGGTTGTACCAATTTATATCCTACAGTGGATGACAATACTCAGTTCTCATATTTAACAGTTAATATTATAAATCATTTACATTTCTCATAATTCCATGAGCAAAAAAGTATCTCAATAATGTTTCATACTGCATTTCTTCGATTTCTAGAGAATTTGCATATCTTTTCAAATGCATGTTGTCCATATTCATTTCTTCCTGAGACTCACCTATTCATATATTTTGCTGGCTTTTCTGTTGAACTGGTTTCTTATTTCTTAGTTGTAGAATCCTTTTAAATACATATACTCAAAGTAATCCTTTCTTTTACATAGTAAAAAAATGTTCTCCCAGTGTTTTGGGCTTCTTTTCTTAAAGATATTTTTGTTGTTGTCAGAACTCTAAAATTTTGATGTTTAGTTAAATTTACCAATCTTTTCTTTCATGGATTTTGTACTTTGTACCTACCTTAAGGAAGACTTTTCCTGTTCCAAGTCTATGATTATACTTTCTTATTTTTACTTTTAAATTTGCAAGTTTAATTTCTATATATACCATTTATTTCTTCCTTTCTTGGTCAATGTAACATGATCTATCATAGCATTACCTCAATCTCTCAAATGCTCAATAAAGAAATGAAAATATAAACAGGAACTAAATTATTCAGATAAATACACAGCTGGAAAGAAAAATTTTGCTATAATATTTAAATATCTTATTCTAAATTATATACATATATATTTTAAATTCTCACCCAAGAATATTCTTCCATTGACTTTTCACATAGAGTGAGAGGGAGATAGGGAAAGAGAGAGGGAGAGAAACATAGAAACATCAGTGTGAGAGAAGACACATCAATTGGTTGCCTCTCACATGACCCTGACCAGGGCCTGGAATTAAGCCCGATACTTTGGTCCACGGGGCAATGCTCTAACTGCTAAGCCAAACCGGCCAGAGCTCTAAATTATATTTTAAAAGGCATTCACAAAAATGTATTAAAAAAAAAAAAAAAAAAAGCATAATTACTTACATTCTAAAATTCCTTGTTCTATAGAAGTATTTAAAAGCATCATTGCAGTGGCAGCATCAATATCAGATTCTGAAAAAGGAGAAAAGTGACAATGCTAATACTTTGTATTATAAGTATTTGCATGCACCCATAGGTAACCAATGTTAAGATTTTGGTGTATAGTCTTCTAATTAAAAAATTGGTAATGGAAGGAGACTTTAGGGTGGTGAACACACAATACAATATACAGATGATGTATTACAAAATCATGCACCTGAAACCTATATAATTTTATTAACCAGTGCCACCCCAATAAATTCAATACAATTTGGAAAAAAAGTATTAAACAAAATGAGGCACATATTTTGCAATCTGCTTTTGTTCACTTAAAATTATGAATAGTTTTGTGAACGGTATTGTATAAAGGAGGATTGAGAGGTACTAGAAATAATAAAAGTTCTCTTCTTTAATTATTTACAGTGAAAATAAAAACCTGAACTTCACTTCAATAAGGTTTGTTCTTAAACAGACTAAATTACCTAAGAATGTACATTAGGGCATTATTACTTTTTAATATTTTTACCTTTTTAGCATTTAAAATATATCCTTACCTATGCATATCTGCAGTTATAAATTACTGCATTAATTACATGCTAGTTATAAAAATAAAAATATATGTAATTGGTCAGTCTAGACTATGTAAATCTACAAAAGCTAAATGAATAATTATTGCTGGCACAAAAATATTAGTATAATTACGACTAAATGATGTCTTTAGTCACAATTATATATAATCCTATAAGTACTATAGATGTATATAATACTCAAGAGGTCAAACATAATTATAAATATTCCATAAGAAAAATGAGCTTTAAAAAACTGGTAAAACCAGCAGGTTCTATCCCAGATAAGATCATTTTGTTCTCATATCTATTTTTATACTTAAAGGTCCTTTCCATCTTAGTGATCTATTAGTCTGAATAATTATAATGGAATAAAAGTGAAGTGGTGGTATAACCTAAAATGTGAAAAAAAAGTTAGAAAATATTTAAAATCTTTACAGTATACAGGATAACTTTAAAATAACACCCAGACATGTAACTTCCCATTTCCATCTCAAAGTTGGAAAATTTTTATTATCCCAAAGTTATTATTTGAGATAATAAAGTAATAAAGATATTGACTTGTTTTTTTCCCCAACTTGACTGTAAATTCTGTAAAGGCAGGAAATGTTTGTTATTGACTTTAATAAACACGCTTAAGCAAATCAGAAGATGGTTGTTATGAGGGAGCACATATTAGAGCTCTTTTCCCTTAAATAAAATGTGATCTCATGAAACAGAGTCTCTACATGAATGTCTTTCCAACTAGACTGTCGGCTTCTTTAAAGTAGGAACCATATCTCATCTTCTGTCTTCCACAATGCCTGGGAACAACAGTAGATCCTTAATAAATGTGTAAAGAGTAAGTATGTTACATCTTTGCCCTCCTTTCTATAGATTAAGCTGATGAGTGTCACCAAATAACTAACATCGAGTACTTTCAATGGTCTTGGCATGTTTTTGATTTTTTAAATCCTCACCCGTGGATATTTTTCTATTTATCTTCAGACAGAGTGGGAAACAGAGAGAAACATCGACATGAGAGGGACACATCGACCAGGGCTGAGGACAAACCGCAACCAAGGTACGTGCCCTTGGCCAGAATAGAACCTGCAACTCCTCGGTCTGCGGGCCGACGCTCTACCACTGAGTCAAACCAGCCAGGGCTGGTCTTGGCATGTTTTAAGTATTATTAACTCATCTAATCCTCACAACTTTATGATATGGGTGTTACTAGTATTTCCATCTTAAAGATGAGAAAACCGGGACAGAGGAGTCTCTAGGAATGACAGAGGTAGAATTTGAACTTCAGTATTTTACCTCCAGAACCCAGGCCTTCAATTTTTACTCCATCATCATCCCTTAGTACTTAGTAAGGATCCATAATTAGAATAGGAATCCTGCAGAAAACTATAGAATATACTGGAAATTCTTTACTGTTATTCATTCAATAAACTGAGTGTCCTGTTATGAGCCTTACATCATTCCAGGCTGTGAGAATATAGCAGAAAACAAAACAGAAAAATCACTAATCTCTCAAAACACAAACACAGTATGCCAGAGAGTCATAAGCACTAGGGAGAAAAATTAAGAGGAAAGGGAGATACTGTAAATTTTAATATAGTGGTTAGGGAAGAGAAGAGGGTAATAGTTAAGATAAGACCCCAGAAAAGTCAGAGAATAAAGACATGTGGATATCTGAAGGAAAAGCAATTCAGGCAGAAAGAAATGAAAGTAAAAAAAAAAAAAAGGAATCAATAATTCCTGCATGCCATAGCCAAGAGGCTAGCTTTAAAACAAAGACCTTTCCTATTTCCTGTCTTTTAGAATGAGACCTGACTACAATTTTGATAGAGTTCAGTATTCTAACATGTTTTTGAAGACAAAAAGGTACAGCCGCTAGCCCATATTGTATCTCTGCGTGAATGGAAAAAAAGCAACTCTGACTCCAGGTGAATGCTTTCCTGCATCAAGGCACACAGTTTGAAGACTGGAGTGTGGGCTGGATTTCAGACCCCACTCATTCCTTAGCCAGGTGTCCTTAAGCAGGGCACAACTTGTATGACATCATGCCAAAGCAATAACAGAGATTTTCCTGCTCCATAAAATACTTTTTCTTTCAATAGAAAAAGGTCTCCCCTCCCCTCCTTTATTTTATCCTCACCCAAGGACATTCTTCCATTTTTTGTTCAGACAGACTGGGAGGAAGTGAGAAGAGAGAGAGAGAGAGAAACATCGACATGAAAAGGACACATCGAGTGGCTGCCACCCACATGACCAACCAGTGCTGGGGACAAACCGCGACCGAGGTATGCGCCCTTAGCAGGAACTGAACCTGGGTCTCTCTGGACCACAGGCCGACGCTCTAACCACTTAGCCAAACCAGCCAGGGCAGGTCTTCCTTATTTCTAATTTTAGATAGATAGATAGATAGATAGATAGATAGATAGATAGATAGATAGATAGATAGATAGATGATAGATAGATAGATGATAGATAGATAGATAGATAGATAGATAGATAGATAGATAGATAAGACAGATAGATAGAAAGGAGGTGGTGTTAAGGGAGCAAATCTAATACTAAAATTCATTATATAATGAAATGATTTCAGAAAATTCATAATCTTATAAACATGACATACAAAACCTTATTACAATTTAGTATATTTCTAACGACTTCTTATAGTAAACTTCCATCACAAGTCAAGGACTCACATTTCTGAACACTATACCTAAAACTAAAGAAAACTGATTAACAGGCTTATCCTGGCAATATAAGTAAACTGCATGAACATCATTTCTTCTCTTAGTTGTTGAATATTTAAAGTGGTAACAAAACGAGGTACTGCTTCTGTAACAGTAGAACAACAGACATATTCCTTACATACATTTATTTCTTGTAGAAAATTTATTATAGCCTAATTAATTTGAACTCTCCCCATAAAATTAACTTTATAGAACCAAAACTTTATTTACAAAAGAATTTTATCTACATCTGATTTGTTTGGTTTAGAACATTTGTAAGTATACTTCCCCATAATGCCTTGCCAATTAACTCTAACTCTGATTAAAAGTTTAATTTCACTGTTAAAATAAATATGTACTACAGAAATAACCCATAACACTTGGTAATCAAGAATACCTGATTATCAATGATTTGCCCAAGATACAATCTTGAACTTCTTGAAACAAAAACTCTCTGTGCAGGCTTTACAACAATTTCTTTTTAATCCTTACCCAAGGACATGTTTTTATTGATTTTTAGAGAGATAGAAAGGGGGAGAGAGAGATGTGGGAAAGAAACATTGATCAGTTGCCTCTCGTATGCAGTCCAACTGGGTATTGAACCTGCAACCTAAGTATGTGCCCTGACCAGGAATCGAACCCGCCACCTTTTTGGTGTATGGGACAATGCTCCAACCAACTAAACCACCTGGCCAAAGCTACAACAATTTTTATTTATAGTGCCCAATCTGACTTGGTATTAAAATTAAACTGGAGACGTATTTGTTTATTGTCAGAATGAAAAACACCTCATACTGTTATTTTTTTCATTGATAAGTACTTACACTATTTTAAAGGTGGTTGTATATAAAACTGCCCTGGCCGGTTTGGCTCAGCGGTTAGAGCGTCAACCTGCGGTCCTGAAAGACCCGGGTTCGGTTCCCGCTAAGGGCGTGTACCTCGGTTGCAGTTTGTCCCAGGCCCTGGTTGGTTGTGCGGGTGGCAGCCACTCAATGTGTTCCTTTCACATCGCTGTTTCTCTCTCTCTCTCTTCCTCTCTCTCCCTCCCACTCTATCTGAACAAAAAATGGAAAAATGTCCTCGGGTGAGGATAAAAAATAAATAAATAAATAAAACACATACTATTAGCTACATTATCTAACATATCCAGTTCATGAAGAACAAAATTTTTGTTTTTATAAAGTCTTTTGTATATTTTTTTCTGACAGTACTCAAATAAATAATTCATTCCAGCTGAAAGTTATTTGTCATTAGAACCACAAGAGTAATCCAAATAGTGATTTAAAAAAACAACTTAGTTCAAAGTCATATTATTTCCCTTTTTAGCCTTCATAGTTCTGATTGGCGTTCAAAACATGCTACTGATTTAATGACTGGTTCAGATAAATTTTTGTCAGTAGTATTAACTTGAACATTTCCTTAGCCTTATGCTGGGAAATTATTAATAGTTGAAAAAAATTTAAAAGGCACCAGTTTTAGCCATGTGAAATTGAGGATTATAGGACAAATTAACAAGTTTCTATTATCTGATTCTCAGTCCATTTGCTTAAGAAATAATATGAGAACAGTAGAGGCAGAATTTAAATGGGCATAAGCTCAGCAATAAGTATAAGAGGATTTATTGCCTCCATCAAAACTAACATACACATTTACAGAGCATCCAAATGGAGATGATGTCTCTTGTGATTCTTTAAAGATTCTTTAGGAGAGCAATTTCAATAAATTACCAACACTTTAAGCT